TTCGCCCGTTACCATCACTGACCACTGCCAACGGGTCGATAACCCGAGACCTCTTTCGCAGCCGAAATTTTCGAAGCTCGTTCTAGAGTGTCGAATCGAATATGGCGCGCAACGGCCCCCTCCCCCTCCCCCCCCTACCCGCCCCTCCCCCACCGTAACGCGTTCCTTCTCTTTCGTGACTTCCCTTTCCTCCCTTGACCGTTCGGCCAGCCCTTCGTCGGACTCCAGCGCTGCCTTCGATACGCGATTATTCCTACGACTCGCATTTTCACGACTCTTGGACCTTCATCGAGAGGGTTGGTAGGGATTTTAGGAATTCCAATTCACTACGAAGGTATGAACAGTATTGTGCGAATCAGATTTTTACCGGACGGCTCGTCGTTGCCCATTTAGATTCCGGAACTGAAGATGAATATGTGTATGCGGAACGATTTTTAAGTCGAGAATTGGAAAATGTTTGTCTTTATGGAAAGTTTTTTAGTCTGACCTGGGAACTCCAGTAGAATACCTGTGGGGTATATGTAAGGCCAGGGTACATGGATTGCACTGCCAAGAAGAAAATAACGGAAGCAGTGAATCAGGCGTGGTTCTGCGACTAGCAAATTGTCAGAAGTGAATTGATTTCTCATCGAAATGGATACAAAAATTCATTCATGTCGAAGGAGGACATATTTCTTATGAAAAAGTCAACGTGTCATGTTGAATTTTTCCATGAAACTGCTTTTAATTTTCTAATGTAACTATTTGTGTTCACATTAATTCGCATAATACTGTATCTACGGTTCACCGATTATCTCCACTACTTTTAACTGTTCAATTATTAACTCTAAAACTCTTGTTTGGACTTGATTTTTCGTTTAATTGTAAAGCTTTCCCAGTGGATTGATTTATTAACAGGTGTTTTGAGAGCACACTGTTTTGAAAATTATCTACGGTTGACACGATTTTCTTTTTTTCTTCGTCACGAATTGTGTCGGTTCAAGAATTATCGTTTTAACACCTACTATGGTCAAACTCGTTCTAACCGTTTGACTCTAATTACTAACTACTGACTACAACTACAGCTAGTACATATTGGCAATAAGATTATATCGAACTTCTAAGATGTAGATAATGGACGTGTGACTTCAGAGTTGCGCTGAGTGGGTTAAGAATCTTTTCTCATTTTTCGTTTTAAATAAGTGGAAAGGCTAAACCATGGGAAACTATGAGGCGACGTTTTGTTTCTACGTATTTCAGAAATGTCGATACGCGTTTTGCAGTTAAATATTTCATAAGCTAGTGTAAAACTTGAGCTTTGAGTTTCGATACCACCCAATTGTTTCCCCAAATTTCTGTAATTATAGACTCCGGTATTTAAAAAGTATCAGACATTCTGTGATACAATTAATTTCGTTTTTCTTCTACAAATTACGAGAACAAGTTGAGAATGAACATCACGAACTTATGGGACGACCTAACACAAGATTAGATTATATAAGGGTGAATACCATAATTCCTTGGAAAAGAATACAAATCTAAAGATGCTACCACGTCTATATTCGCTTTAGGATCCGGTATATTCAGGACCGTAAATAAGATTCTTCTGGCGAAACCGTGAGTTTCCATGCTCGATTATCTCGAAAACGGAGTCGAAAATAAAAACTCTTTCTTCTTTCATTTTTCTTATTTTCTGCGCGTCTATGGAAAAACAAAGAAACGAAGACATGCATTCGCACTCGCGATACACTTTCGAAGGTCGAGCATTTATCTCGAGGTACGCATTACGTCGTGGCGTATCAACCCCGAGTCAGTAGCCACGTTTTTTCGTTTCGGGGAAACTGTATCTGTTGTTGGCCGGCAATAATCGGTGAATCATTTCTTTCGTTTCTCGTTATCGGAGTTCGACGTACCAGAATGTTTAACGCTCCAGAACTCTCCACCGTCTTGTATCGTTAACCCCCTAAATGAGGTGAATGTACCTACTACTGTGGAATTATTTTCTATCAAGATTTAAACTACGTACAAAGAAATTGTATACCTCTACAAAATTTGTACGATTCGGTAAGAATGTCTTACAATCGATAACAAAGATTCGAAATTTCAATTTCCGGGTCGGGGGTTAAAACGAAAAACGAAAAACGTAGGAAGCGTCCGTAGGAAGCGTCCGTAGGAAGGTTGGACGCTTGTACGTTTCCTGGCTTAGCTGGCGAATAAACGGGCGATTCTGATACGAGTGTATCGCGGAATCGAATTTTGTCGCGGCTAAGCGTATCACCAAAGAGTCGCGTCATAGTCGAACGGCCCTGTAAACTGATTCGAACGAGTTACGCTCTCTCTAAAACGCAGAAAGAAAAGTCGCGAAACCGGACATTAGTTATCGCGTTGTGCCGAGCATGTAATTTCCAAAGTGAACGTCGAAATGTTGATTCGACGCCATACAGTTAGAATTTTTGACCAACGAAAGAAAGTCTCCGTGGGGGTTGTTGGCTCCGGATTTCCACGAGCAGGAGCACGAGCATAAGCACGAGCACGAGCACGGGTACGAGCACGCGGCGGAGTCTTTTAAATTTCCGAGACGTTCACTCGTAGCAATTGAAATATCACCGGCCGCTTCATCGTAATTTCATAATCGTTTAGGTACAACGACCTTTCGTTAACGATTTTCCATATCGGACGCGTACACGAGCCGATCAATTTTTGTCCAAGTTATCGTTCGATTGCACCAATTGACGATTACGCTTCGCAAATTGCGCGTAGTTAGCGCGATATGGTCACATCGACCGCACGCGCGGATCGGTTCGATTTCGTACACGCTATTCAAGAGTCGCGTCCGGGTTAGACGAGATTAAATCGAATCGCGATATTCCAGAAATTGCGTGTTTCGCGTCGATGTGGATCGACCACGAGGAAAGTAAGAAAGGATGCAAAAAATGCGAAGCATCGTTCGCTGTTCCCGATGAAATCGGAACCTTGAACCTTAGAAACAACGCCGATAAGGCGACGATCATGAACCGTGTAAATGTGCAACTCGGTCGATTGGTAGGGGTGGTTATCGTACGGTCGTCGTGCCGACGCGTGTTACAACACGTATCGCTTTTGTACGATACATTTTTTCTTCGAATCGGAGAGCGTTACTTCGGGGAATGCCCGTTCCCGACAGCAAAAGGGATATTTTTGGTACCGTCCCTGGTGAAAACCGGACGTGGCTATCGAGAAAGAATACGAACTGGGTCAATGACCCAGGCGCCGAAGAACCACGACTGTTTTGTGGAGGCCAGGTCTGGGTCAGTATGGACCGCTAAATGAGATACGCTCAAACTCGAAACGAAGGTTATTCCATTAACGCAAAATTGTCTATCCGTAATCCTCTAGCTTTTTTTAAACTCTAGTTTTCACGATCTATATTCCATCGTGGCAGCCTATAGTTTTCGCGCACGATTTAATATTATATAATTAGAAATATTTCTCCCTGCCCCCCGAAAGAAAGCATTCGAATTGAAAAACGGAGGTGACGACGCGGAGCTAGTCGATCCGGCGCGGATCCTTCGCGAGTAAAACAGAGAGACACTTACCGTTGAGTTTGGTGGTAGCGATCCCCACTACAGGGCGATAGTTTCGAATCCCTGCAGGGGGCCCGAATCCCCCCACCACCGTGGCGGGATAGGAGACCTCGTGGTCTCCGACCAACGAGACCGAGGAACAAGAAGCCCGCCTTCGCACCCTCGGCGGAAGTATCCACCACCCTGAAAGTAAGACCCACGCTTTACCCCCACCGAATTTCGTGTCGCTTCGCGTCGAGTCGCGTCGAGTCGCGTCGCGTCGCGTCGCGTCGCGTAACCCGTTCAACGGTCCACCGTCTTTCTTGGCTCCTTCCGCTCCTTCGCGTTCGTCTCTGCTTCTCTTTGTGCCGCTGCCCCACCATATCCAGGGACTGCCGGGGGGCAATCGGGAGGCATCCGGGGGACCGTTTAGAGTCGCTGGGGGGCCGGTGCTCGATGAGTCACTATATAAGACGGGCAAGGACAAGAAGGTGTATGTTAGTATACACTCAATCTTTACGTGGCTCGCACGACTCACGACACAGCGAGCGCCGGCAAATTCGGCTGCGGCGGTGACCGACTTTTTTTTCTTTCTTTCATTCTATCCTTTTCCCCCATTCCTCCCTCCCCCCTCTTCTCTCTCTCTGAAACGCTCTTATCGTTCAACAATTTTACGTCGTCTGCGTACCTGTCTGCCCATCTACCTACATACCTATCCACCTATCTATCCTCCTACCTACCTATCTGCCCATCTATCTAAGTACACGGCTATTTCGCGCCTTGCTTTCTCCCGCGCCCTCTCCGTCTCTCTTCGCCCCTTATCCCGTATCTTTATCTCCTCTTACCGAGGCACACACGTGTCCGCGTGCTCACGAGTTCGGCCACGTTTTTCGTTGTTCGCCACTCACTTGCCATTTCTCTAATTTCATCCTCTCTTTCCGCGAACCGGCGACTCCGTTCGCGTCCTTCGCGCATTTCCCGTAAGATTCCCCCTCGTTCCAGTTACATTCTTCCTCGATTTTCGACGGAATCGTCTTCGTACCCGACGATTCCTTGACAAGGCACCCCCTCCACGCACACACGCGCCACCGCGTACACACGTCCTTCCTCTGTTCCCCCCTCCAGATTATGTCCCACCAGTTCGATCGGCTTTGATACTTATAGCCGCGAATTTCGGAAGCAGCATTTCGAAGAAGAAAATCGCACTCGCGTCCGGACGAATCCCGGTTAGACGAGATCCGAGCGCGTGGCGTATCTTCGAAAAGGAAAGGAAGAGAACATCGGAGGCAATCGAGACGAAGGGAAGAAGAGAGACACGAGGGGAAGGAAAAAATGTCAAAGAGGAACGACGGTGCGCAAGGTTAGAAGTGTACCAGAAGTTGAGAAATCGACGAGCTCGCTTGGGCCGGTCCGAGGAATCGCGCGATACCGATCGTTGAATTTCACTAAATCGAACATATATAAAGTTTGGATTACGCGATGCTGGTGGAACACGCGGCACAGTGGACCTGGCAAGCTATGGGAGGCACGAGAATCGAGGTCCTCTACACGTTACTCGTGTTCCTCGCTGTGTTGTTGGTGGCGAGATGTCTGCAATGGCTCAAGTACGTGCGTTCTTTGCCCCCGGGCCCTTGGGGCGTACCTGTGTTCGGTTATTTGCCATTTCTCAAAGGTGACGTTCACCTACGGTACGGCGAACTCGCGAAAAAGTACGGTCCGATGTTCAGTGCCCGATTAGGAACGCAGCTCGTTGTCGTTCTCAGCGATCATCGCACTATTCGCGACACGTTTCGCCGAGAGGAGTTCACTGGAAGACCGCATACAGAGTTCATCAATATCCTCGGCGGATATGGTAAGTGTATAACGCGTGACGCGTGTCATGCTCGCTTTCTGATAAACCGGCCTTATCGCGGCTTTCCGTCGTCGCGAGCCCGCGTCTTCGCGCTTTCGTGCCATTCCGTTGTTTCGCCTTTTTTGCATTCTCGCCTTCGCACGCGCGGGTGCGACATTATTATCTCCGACGAAGGTTAAAATAGTCTCTCTTTTTCTCACCCTCTCTCCCATCCGATAATCTCACATCACCTCCCCTATTTTTTTTACGTCGGGATTTCTGTCGCGTCACCGGTCTTTTCGATTCCGTGATTGTTTGTCAACTTGATACAAAAAGTTCTTTTTCTGTCGTAGGTATTATCAACACCGAGGGTGCTATGTGGAAAGACCAAAGAAGATTCCTTCATGATAAACTCAGAAGCTTCGGCATGACCTATATGGGCGGCGGGAAGAAAATTATGGAATCGAGAATTATGGTGAGCGGAACCCGCGTTTACGAATCTCCTTTCTCCGTTCTGTACGCGTTTTCCCCGTGCCCGCTCGCCATTGTCCATCCCCGGAAAGCTGACCGGGGACTTGTTGATTTTTAGCGCGAAGTCAAGACGTTCCTTCGTAGTCTGGCGTCAAGACGGGGCGCGCCGATGGACGTTTCCGCCTCTCTCGGAATGTCCATCAGCAACGTGATCTGCTCGATCATAATGGGGGTGCGTTTCCAACACGGCGACGCCAGGTTCAAACGGTTCATGGACCTGATCGAGGAGGGGTTCAAGCTGTTCGGCAGCATGGTCGCGGTGAACTTCATCCCCGTGATGCGTTATCTGCCGTGTCTGCAGAAGGTCCGCAACAAGATATCGGAGAATCGTTCGGAGATGGCCGACTTCTTCCAGGAGGCGGTCGACCAGCACCGCGCGACTTTCGACAAGGGCACCGTGCGCGATTTGGTCGACGCGTACTTGCTCGAGATCGAGAAAGCGAAGGGCGAGGGTCGTGCGGCGTCGCTCTTTCAAGGAAAGAATCACGGTGAGCGGTCGTATAAAAAATAATCTAGCCGGTCGCTTTCTCCGACAACCATTTTACGATCTATGTCTTCCGTCTGTCTCGCGATCAGATCGCCAGATGCAACAGATCCTCGGCGATTTGTTCTCCGCCGGCATGGAAACCGTCAAAACCACGCTGGAATGGGCGATGATCTTGATGCTCCATCACCCAGAAGCGGCGATCGCGGTGAGGGAGGAATTGGATCAGGTGGTGGGACGATCGAGGATGCCCGCCCTGGAGGATCTACCTTTCCTGCCGATCACCGAAGCCACGATATTCGAAGTGCTCCGAAGGTCGAGCGTTGTACCCTTGGGAACCACTCACGCGACTACACGGTAAATATCTTTCCCCGCAATTTTCCACCATTTTTCTTTTCACTCCTAGAACGTTCTATTCGAGCGCGATTTCAACGTTCTCTTGCTGGTAAAAGTAACGAATTTCTGATCGTGCGCGAGAACTTCGAAACATCGAAACTCTGCACGCTTGTAGATATCGATGTTTACAAAAGAATGCACAATCTTTTTTTTTAACTTCAACAGCGAATACTATATATTTTCGTAAAAAGGTTGTCGAATCAGTGCATAAAGTTTCAATTAAATTTTGGATCTTCGATGAACGAAACCGTCTTCAAAGTTTTTCGAGTTTAAATTAGCGTTTTTTTTTTGGAAGTTCGAAGTCGGTGTACGACGGTTACGGATCGATGGAATTTGGAAAACCGTACGATTGTTTCAGGGAAGTGACGTTACACGGTTATACGATACCGGCTGGATCGCAAGTGGTGCCGTTGCTGCACGCGGTACACATGGATTCGGAACTTTGGGAGGAGCCCAAGGAGTTTCGACCGAGTCGATTTCTCTCGGCCGAAGGTAAAGTCCAGAAACCGGAATACTTTATGCCTTTCGGTGTCGGCAGACGTATGTGCCTGGGCGATGTGTTGGCACGCATGGAATTATTCCTGTTCTTCAGCTCGTTGATGCACATGTTCGAGCTGAGATCGCCGGAGGGTGCGTCCTTGCCGAGCTTGCGCGGTAATGCCGGTGTGACCGTCACGCCCGATCCGTTTGACGTTTGTTTATTACCGAGAAATCTCGAGCTCATCGAAGACGCGAGCAACGATCCGATTTCCTTCGCCGCCGTATTGCGGAACATCGGCAGTCATTGAAGGCTCGCGATTAAACTTTACACGCTCCACAAGGACCAACGGAGCACGGTAGTCGTTCCTAACGCGACCCGACCCGACCCGACCCGATCCGATTCGATCCCGATCCTGATCGTACATCGCCCAAGCAAAAGGTTCATCCTATTATACAACGTTATGATAGATTCGGTTCATGGCCCTACAGGATCCCCCCCCCCCCTCCCCTCCCTCCCCCTCTCAACGTTCATTACTTCTCTTATCGTCCCTTTCGCGTCATTACTTCCCGATTCGTAATTCCCGCGTTTACCAGCCGAGCGCTTTCATCTCATTCCCTATTTATTAGCGTTTAGTCATTAACTGTTTAAAGATTTAGCGAACACGAATATTGGATCGAACGACCGACCGTTTAGTACGATACGCCAATAACAATCGTGACGTTGTCTCCGACCCGACAGGAGACAAAACTTGTAAATAATGATACCAGCAATAACAACAGCAATAATAATAATATTAATATTAATATTAATAATATAATAGTAACGATAGTAGTAACGACGACGATGTTGATAATAATTCCGTTAATAATGTCGTAGTAAGTGTTTCGAGATGCTTGAACAAGTTCGTAATGAGCGTGCGACGAAACTGTTCGAGGAGCGAGCGTGTTGTGCCGAAGCGTACCTAGGTCTATTAGGCGAATGAGCTATAACGATAACGGCGGTCGACGAGAGCGCGAGATTGCCTTCGTCTCCGAGTTCTCTTTTCGTTAATTTGTACGAAAGTTTCGACGCGACTGGAACGAAACGGATTAGATCGTAGGGCTGTGCGTCGGACGGGACGTGGCTTTTGACCTAAAACAGTGATTTTCGTGAAAGTTAGAACGAGATTTTTGCGACACAGCAACGTAGCGAACAGAATTCAAAACCGATATCGGACTCGCCGAGTATATATCGATCCGTAGTGTGCGGGCAAAGATTAAGGCTGTGAATCTCGAATTTAGGACGCGGGATCCACCGAGATCCGTGTGATATCGCGCTCGTAAAATCATTTCCAAAGACTTTGTAATGCGTATCCTGGAACACCGACGAAGCATCGACGCGGTTTACTCGTAATTATTTTTCTTATTACCTTTGTTCGTTACCCGTGCGTTCGTTTATCGTCTTTCGTTTGCTTCGTGAATCGTTTGACCGCAGGAGGGACGCAACATCGCGTCGACGCTCCGTCGGTGTTTGCTAGTGAGAAATTTACACGTGGCATGCTCGAATCGCAGAATACCGCAATGTGTTCACCCGCCGACCGCGAATCTGTGTTATTTAATGTTGTTCTCTTTGCTAACGATTAAACGTGCTGTTTCTCATTCGACACGAATCGAAATCCGGCTGCTTGCGCCTTCTTTCACCTGATACCCTCTCCTCCGACCAAATCCACTACGTTTTCAACAACCCACGTCGACGAAATCGCGAGAGGGACCCGATCGAAACGAAAGTTACGCAAGATCGTCTCGTCTGCTGTTCACCCGTTGCCAGACCATCCCACCAAACTACGATTTCCTGACAATTTCTCCCTCTCTATTTAACCCTTTCGCTAAAATCGATCTATTCTCGATACAAGGGATAAAAACGTCCGATTCCTCCAGTACACTCGATGATTCAAATAAAACGAGCGGTAGGTATTTAAAGCGAACGGAGTAAGAAATGAAACGGATAAAGCGAGGAGACTGAGAGAAAGGTAAGGCCGTTTACTTCTTGTGTTGGGCAAAAGTTATTTAGAATAACGAATGAATCATAATTACTCAAATTTATAAATGAAGTATGCACAATAGAAAAAAAAAAGTTTCTTTTTATAGATGCAAGTTACAATGGTGAACGAACCGCTTATTTGACGGTTGCAGCCCCGCGACGAGTGAAAGCGTACACAGCAGGCGGAAGTATGAATACAGAATCGGTTCTGCCCATCATCGATGTCGCGCAACGAACATCAATCGGTGTGGTTTCGGGACGAGCGTGATGCCGCAATCGCCTTCGAGATCGACCGTTTCGTTCGACGGTACCGATATATTCAACGCGCGCAATATTCTAGCAGCGAAGAGAAACAGTATCATCCGGGCCAGTTCCTCCCCGACGCAGACGCGTTTCCCTTTAAACAAAACAAGAACGTACGCGTGGACGAGACACGTCGAATCCAAAGAAAAAGATAATTACCGGTCTGAAAGGGAAGAAACGATTCCGGCTTGAAGAAGGTTCCATCCTCGGCCAGGAATCTGTCGGGTCGATACTCGAGTGGATCCTGCCAGTAAGCAGGATCGGTATGAACGGCCCATTGCACCGGCACGATCATGGCCCCTTTCGGCACGTCGTATTCGCCTATTTGCGTATCCTGGACAAAGTATTCCGATAAGTTGCGTTACAGTGCTCCTCCTTTCGTTTCGATCGTTCATTCATTCGTTGATCGTGTTCGTACGCACCTCCAACGTTCCGTGGGGAATACCGAGTGGGGCGACGCTTCTGAGTCGTTGCACTTCGGCCAAAGCAGCTTCGAAGCATGGCATGGAGTCTCTGTCCTTCAAAGTCGGTTCTTCACCGGCATCCAAACACCGATCCATCTCTAACCGAAGTTTCTCCTGCAAAATTATTTAACGGTTGCTCGGTCTCGATCAACCGATCGCGAACGAGGCTCGTTATTGTGACGCACCTGTTCATCCGGATGTACGGCGATGAAAAGCAGAAACCACCGGAGGGTCGTCAAAGTTGTGTCCGTTCCAGCGCCGAATAGGTCAGCCAACAAATGATAAAGTTGCGACTCCGTAAAATAACTATCGTCCGTGTTCTCCTTTCTCATCTGTTCATCGAACGCCGCCAAGAAGCTTTCGTTTCCTGGGGTTGTTGGCGCGGTCCTGGCACGATGTTCATCGAGTATACCGCGATATACTCGGTGCGTCTTCTCCTTTCCGTCGAGGATGTGTCGTATCGTTTGTCCGTATCGCGGCAACAATCTAACGAACGTTTTCCTTTCTATAAAGTTTGATCGATGAAACCATAATCCTCGGTGGTGTGGTTTTTAGTTTTATTTTTTCAAACTGAACAAGCTGTGACTGTGATACTACAGCGTTACCGTTCGATGATTTCGTTTGATTTGCCTGAGATGTGGTTTCAACAAAACGATGCTTCATGCTACGCTTCTCTTGAAACTATCGCTTTATTGAGATCAAAGTTTAACGATAAGATTGTTACTTGCAAGTCCACGTTAACTGTCTTGTTTACTCCAATAAACTACAAATTGTTGATGATCTCAAAGTTCGTGTTAGTGATGAGATACAATCTGATTTATGTGCCGGAACCATCGAAAATTTGATTTATTGTATTTCGTGTATAATGCCATCGAATGTTGATCGAAATAAAACAGATACCAGACTATCTTCTGTAGTTTCTATTTTATTTCTATCGTTCTTATCGGAAAGCCCTATGCCTATCAAGAATAAGAGGACGAAAGCACACCTGAGGATAGGCAAAAAGTTGAGCGGTCCAGCGATGCCTATATGCTTCACTCCCTCCTCTTGCAAGTGTCTCAACCATTTCCAAACCTGCTCGTTCTCCTCGTACGTTTTCCCGAAAACGATGCTGTTGATCAGATTGCCCATGCAGTGATGGAGCGTGTCCAAGGGATCGATCGGCCCGTCCGTCGATCGTTGCTCGAGTTTCTACGGAACCCGGGAGAAAATCGTTTTCGTGTCAGCGAAGTCAAAAGGGAACGCCCGTTGACTTATACGGTCGGTGGCGCAACAGAATGATCGAAAGACGAGAAAAAGTAACGAATGTTCAGAGTACCGATACGCATTCGTTCGCGGCGTCCAGTATCCTCTTCTCCAATCTGTCTCTCTTCGGTCCATCGTGCTTCACCATCCCGAAATTTCTCAAACAGATACTAACGAATTTCCTTTGGTCCCTCCATCGGTTGCCTTCGGCGCAAACCAGTCCTGCGCAAAGAAACGACGAGAGAAATCGGGATCAGAGAGCGTGAAAGAAGAACGCACGGAGTTCCGACGATCATTTTCTTCGTCCATGTTCCATATTTTTTTTTTTTTTCTGTTTTTCGAAAAACCGTCGTATTTGGTTCTCGTCGCGAGCGGCGTTCGTTCGAATCTTTTTACGAAACAACGAGACGGTGTATCGAGTCGGCAGGGAGGAGGGGGTGCGCGTAAAAAAATAGCGAGGGAATTACCGTCGTCGTTCCGTAAGTAGGCGCAGCCATTGAACTCGCCGAAGGATAATCCTCGAGTGAATAAACAATAATCTCTTACCGCACCCACTCTTTCCCGCCACCCTTTTCCTCCTTCGTCACCACCACCCCTCATCACCTCCTCCTCCAACACCGCCTGCTCTCCTCCTACCCTTCCACACATGGTTGACCCCTCCACCCTCCCCGCCTCACCTCATCGACTCCCTCTCTCGCGCTCTCTCTATTCTGTCCTCCCCTTCCTCTTCTCGATCTCATTCGCTTACCTTACGCGTTACGGTTCGCCTCTTGATCGTATGCGTACTACCGTGGACAGGATAAAGAGTACCAGAGGCCGTGATCCACGAGATCGCGAATCATGATAATGAGTTTATAGGATAAATACAAACGATTTCGGTAACCGTCGCCGAATGGAAGTCACTCTGTGCCCAGTAATGGACAAAAGTAAAAAAAAAACTGAGATCTACGTTTTAGAAATTCTTACGTTTCATAATTAAACTTATAGAAATCATGAATATTATTTTGTAGTTCGAATCAAGGTCAATTTTGGTTTTGGACCGAGCCCATCAAAAATCGTAATACTAAAAAAGAAACATTTGCAAGGCAACGAACTACTGTCAGTTGTTATTCACAACCAAAGGTGGCTGTATTTAATTAACAATTTTGTGAAAAATTAATATTAAAAATGGTACGTTATAATGATCTACAAGTTACAGAGAGGAAAGAACATTAAAATACTGTGAAAAATATATGTGATGTGTTTGGTGAGTGCACTCTTTCGATTTCACCCTGTGAAAGATGGCCTTCTGTCGTAACGAGATTGCTGAATAAATCAATTTTTTCATTTATACGAAAACCGATGAAATTTTTGTATCGAATATCATTGGTTTAATTTTGCTGTACGTTCAATGACCCATTACTGAATAAATTTTGTATTGTGGGGATGTTTTGAGAAGACAACTATTTTTCGGTAGAAATACTCCACTGTGCGTGGATGCGTCAATTGGCCTTAACGAGGGGTCGAGAAAGCCGAGGCCCGAGGTGCCGGCCGTTGCAGCATTAAAAACTACGAGCCACCTTGATTAATTTCTATCGTGTGCACGTTCGATGCGTCACCGATAGAACGAGTTTGTGCCCTTACGGGTACGATAAAATGCGACTGGCCGAAACGAGCGAAAGCGGCGTCGCTCGGAAATTCGGATCGCGGCGATGAGACGACGACGCCGCGGGAACGCGACTCTTTTTTTATCGTTCGACGGTTGCGCAACTAAACGCATCCGCGGAGAGAAATGTTAGGCCGAAAGGAGTGACATCATTCGTGAGATTGCGAGTTGCGGGGGCAACAGACGAATTCGCGAAACAGAATATGCGAACCGCCAGAAATAAACCGGCGGGACTGCCGCAAGAGGTAACGCGTTCGCGCGATAGACGCTCTCAGGGTCGGTCGTTCCACTGTCCAAGCAATTGCAGAAATATGTCCCGAGAGCTGGTATCGATGGAATCGGGTTCTGGCGTCGTTTTTGCCGGTTACAGCGGCGTTACGACAACCTCCTTCAACCAAATTAAGGTATATTTATACCCGCGCGACGAACCAAGCCGAACGACTACGTGTGTCTTATCGTTATTTCTAATTATTCATTAATACGTACGTAGAGTCCAATAACTGAATGCACTCTACTGGATTGCATAGTCGTTAGGAAAAGGTAACGTCGTACTTTTATTTAACACTGGATTTGCCCTAAGCATAATCAAGACATTAATAAGTGACTGACTATAAGATAAGAGTTCTTTTAAAAGTATCGTGACAGACCACCTACGCTTAATAGTCTATTCAGTTACTACATTAAAATACAGTCCACTATTTTCAAAGTTGAACGCATATCATTGTAACGTTTTACAGATTCTATCAAACAAACTAAGAAAATACAGGTTTTCGAAAAATCCGGACTAAAATAAACGCATACTAAACCGTAGTTTTACCCATCAAAATTGGATTCCACGACTCGAAAATCCCCCCTAAAAATAGCGAACTGGTAATAAAAATTACACAAACACCGTCGCTAATTTAGTTTGCATTTTGAGGAATCCGGCCTACGGCGGTGTCCCCGGTCTCCCCACGGGATGAAAATTTCGATCCCTTAAAAACGACTGCGATCGAGGCATCGTATTTGTCGCGAATGCAAATTTCTCCCGCTCCTCGCCGCGTCGCCCCGACGCCACCGACTCCCTTTTTTCGCTCCCCACGGCCTGCCTCTCTCTCCCTCTGTCTCTCTCTTTCTCTCTGTCAGTCTGTAAGCAGGAAAGGCCGTCAGCACGTCCTTGCGGAGCTAACTGTAATATCTCGTTGATGCAGCGCAGAACCAACAACGACCGGGGAAACTTCCTTCAAGGAGATCGAGCCGATACCGAAAGTGAGAGTCCTTCGTTGTCGGCACGAGACTCTCCCGCGCGCAGATGGGTTCATCGCGCTCTCGCACCTGTGTAGGAGTATTGGCGAGAAGCGACTACGGGGGGCAAAGAAACGAAGGATCGCGCGGAAACTAGCATCGTGGAATGCGACTCGACGTCTACGCGCGTACGTGTGCGCGTCACACACGTACACGGACCAGGGATTTTGAGTTCGAACGCGTGCGTTCACGATGGATAGAAATTTTTCTGCGTTACCGGCGAACGAAAAGGCGAGAGGAAAGACCACGGCTCGTGACGTACGAGTAGAACGAATAAACGTGCGCGCCGACCTTACCGTATCCTTGCATAATTCCGTGAGTGAGGTACAGTGGAGCTCTGCCGGCGCACGCGTCCATCGCGAAAGCCTGCTTGATTATTCGCGGGTCCGAGAGGAGAACAGTATAGACCGAACCCATACGAAGCCCGCAGATGGGGCCGTAAGTTCTGGCCAGTTTCGTGAGACTTTCGTGCGGTTTCTCCGTGTCGATCCACGGAAGGTAGCCAAGGATCGGAAGCTGCCAGGGTCCGGGAGGGAGGCGGCGCATTCTTCTGCGATTTCTGACGAAAAAATACGCGAGAAGAAAGAGAGACGCGAGCAGGATAGCGTAGGCGAGACTCATCGCGAACGCTGGTCTCGACGACGTTCGGCGCTGTCCGCTCGATTCCTCGCAAACGACACTCCGGACAGGTGGTTGCTGATTTACCTGCACAGAAAAAGAAATCGAAATTTTATTCACCCCTGCATATGACGGAAAGAATTGGAAATTTCGTTGATACTGTTACTATTCGGTCCTAGATTGCTTTAGTGAGATTCTCAAACTTAAATGTAATAGAGTTAGGGGATGCTAGCTAGGGAAGTCCCTAACCATCGAATTAGGACCACTTAAACTTTCATAACTTTGTTAATGTTCCAAGGTGTTCGAGGGATGAAATTCTCCTTAAGGGGCAATTCTACCTTGTAGGCACGAAAAATACATGTTTCTTTGTGATATTTTTTGTGGGCTATTAAAGAGCGATTAATTCTGGGTTTTGTAGATACATTTATTATATATTTAGCTATATTTACGAATTTTTGCAACGCATAATATCTATTGATTACGCTGTTTTTGTTGATCAAGAAACAACAGTTTTTATGAACGGCACCCGACTGCGTATGTGATATCTTGCAAACAAGTTATCCGAAATCCAAAAACCAACGGTATTCTTAATATAGATGAGTGTGGTTATAGCATGAACTAGGATCTTTTCAAAAAAAAACAAAAAATGGCAAAATGGCAGCTATTTTACGAAAAAATACTGAAATTTTCATATATTCGGTTGCTTTTTTGTTAATAAAAGCGAAAGTATTGCATATATCGCAATTATTGCAGTTCATGCTATAGGGAGACCAGTTCTAAAGATACTGTATAAATTTCATGTTGATATCTTCAATGGTTTTTATGTTATTGTCTACGCAGTGCCGAAAAATATAGTTTCGAGAAAAACAGCTTTAAAGTTTCACGTCCAGTTATTATACCTGCACGCGTACATTTCAGCAGGCTATAACTATAAATTTCAATTTAATATTTGGTAGATATATTTTCGAAATTACATACTAAAAGAAAACGCAAAAAAAATTCGATTTTTTAGATCCCACAAAGTAGAAAGGCCTCTTAAAGAGGGAAATGTTTGACGCAGTCTGAAGTCTACAGAAGATAATGTGTGCAATTCATCGTTGATAGCATCGAAAAGTATAATTATTTCCCTTCGCAATGAGCAAAGTCTATTCTATTAGGTTTAGAGGATAACTGCCTCTATACTTGTTTGTAGAGATTGAAGACCTGTATCGAACAGTCCAATCAAAATTATAGAGTGTCATGGAGTAAAAGAATGTAATTGCATTTTCTAGACGTATCGATGCATAAAAATGAGTTGAATTTGTACATCGTTCGATATTTTTTTTGAATCTCCGACTGTTTGAAAGATATAGCTTTGCCCAGTTGCGTGGGACACCCTGTAGAGTTGAGTTGGTCGATCAGCCGTGTGTTAAAACTAAGACGTAGGAACGAGTTTAGTACGCGTGCACTCGGCACGTGCACTCGCTGCTAGCTCGAGTCGGTCGGTGCTCGTTCGTGCGCAGAATGTCGAACGACGCGTGGTTAAGCACGTGTTTTCTACCAAACGATCTTACTTGGTTTCATAAACGATACACCGTTCATTACCGCACGTCCCCCTATGGAGTTAGATGACTATGTGAAGATTACGGAGTCGACGATGAACTGAGCGACAGAAGGAGAAAGAATATCGATCGATTTTTATAGTATTCTCAGAGAACACCTTCGTCCTCCGATTCGAAAAAATCATTCTAAGAACGATGACTGAAAAACTCACCAACTTAAAGATTTCGTGGAATGTGCGAATGTGCGAATGCTTCCTGACGACAGATTTGCGGAAACTGGCTGAAAGGAATTTCACTCGCGCACACCGAGAATCGGAAAGTACAATTTTTTCGCAAACTTGCCCCGTGGATCGGATTTAGACACCGAGAGAGAAAATATCGTCCAACCCGGGCGACAGCGATAAGTCGACTGTCGACCGATCCGTCAGCAGGTACGATTCCGTCTCTCAATGTCGACTCTTAACACACTATCTGTCCCTTGGGCCTGACGAAGACGGAAAGAAAGCCATTTTGACTACCAAATCGTCGATCGACCGTGTTTACAGTCGTAAAAGGAAATAAATCTATATCGGGCAAGAGACGGATACGACGGCTACGAAGATTCATTTATTCTATCTATCGATTCGTCTTCGGTCGTCTTCGTTCCCTTCCGAGTATTTGAAATGTCCTCTTTTCTCTGAACGAACCGAAACAATATGCCAAGTTCAGACGCCGCCCCGGCTACCTGACGCCTACCCGTTTGCTGACGACAGTCGTCCCTCGGCGTCTGCTTGAATTCCCTTCGTTCGTTTTCACCTTCCGATACACGTTTGTGTTAGTCCCGAAGCCTCTCCGATCTCGTTCGCCAAGCAGGTATTTTTTTGACCCGAAAGATCCTTTCGGTCAAAGTAGGTGGGTACAAGCGAGCCTACCTGGTCCGAGACAAGGGTCTAAACTTTGGCGCTATCCACACTATTTAGGATATTCCACACGTCTACGAGAGAACAGAATAATTAGATCAAGGTTGGAACATCCGTGATCTTTTCGCAGACTTTGTGAATTATGGTAATCGCGGTGTTAAGGGGGTTATTCTGGTCTCGAAGGCCAACTATTAAGCCTTCAGGAATATTTTGCAAAAAAACTGTGGGACTTTCTCATATGATTTTTAGTACCCATATTTGTTACTATTTTAAGTATGTATATTATTTTTTTCAATTGAAAATAGCGAGACATACGTATGATATTCCTGGTTGAATGTGGGTATACGAATTGAAAAAGTATCTAAAGTAAGTAAAGTTAGTAAAGTAATCTAAAACAAAGAAGTATGAAAAAAGTTACCGCGTGAACCAATATTCTAAATAAAAAATTTCGTCGCATTGAAGCTCGAGTATCGATTTCCTCGATCTTTTCTGATATATAGCGTACTAAAAAAATATGAAAATCCGTGCTTCGTACACGGATTTTTAAATTTGTATAAATTTGAATTCGGTCAATTATAACTTGAGATATCATGCACATCAATTCCAGCAGAATGCTACTATGAACTGTACTCTTCAAACCAGCTGCAACGCCGTCAATTTTATTAATTTAAACAAATTCTGCTGTAGACATGTTTTCAAAGACATATACTTGAAGAAAACGCTCGATTTAGAGCGTGTAGCATCTGTTTCGTACAGAGTACAACTGTATGCACGAGTTTCCCGATTTCCGTAAAAATCTTTCTACAATAAACTATATTATAAACCAAATTTACAGCAGAATCGAAGAAAAATTCGATTAACGTTTGGGTACGTCTGGGAAGAAGTTAACGTTGAAACGTTCGAGCATCTTCGAAGCGTTCGTTGCTCGCATACTCGTTTAGGTATCCTAGCCACATATTTCTCGCGCGGGGGCAATGGACCGAACGCCGGATGTGGAATCCCAAGATGCCGAGGGTACTACCAACCCCGGCTCCTTTCTCGAACAAACAGGGCTGCAATGGAACTTTCGAAAGTCAAGGGCCCGCCATTTCGAGCAAACCTGAAACGATCGTTGTTGCGCCAGTCCCTGGGCTTTCCGTTTCACTCCACCAGACCCGTCGAATACCGAATATCGTATATCGTACAGACTTTGCCCCGTTTTGGCTCGTTGCTCGAGACACTGGCGTTTGATCCACAGATACGCGCTTTTCCTTCGTGACACGATCGACTCGGACAGTTCGTATCCATGAATGAAACCAGGTACATGCATAGTTCGCTCCCGAGCTAAATCCGTACCTGCGAGAGGCTGCGCAACCTCCCGGGGTAATGAAATTATTTTTCATTCTACCTAAGGACGACTGCTTCGGGTTCGATGAAACGAATTTTTCTCCAAGGACCGCCGGTTCGCAAAGCGCGAGCGGCTCGCTGGTGACGGTAGCTTTTTGTCGATCCTCTTTCGAGTATAACGAACTCTGCGGCGAGCCGATCTTCATGGACAAACGATGCGGCTGCTCCACGCGATCCTTCATCCTTCCCGCTTCGCCTCCACTCGTAATCTCCACCTTTCTTTCTTCCTTTGCCATATTCCTACGAGAAGTTGTCCGATTAGAGCGCGCACCATTTTTCTTTCACCGTTTATTTCTAGCAATATCTTTTCCGTCGTTCGTCTTTCTTTATGAGGTCACTGATGCTCGTTGCAGTTTCGTTTAACACGAATAAAAATACGTAAATTAGCGATACAACGAAACACGATGACACAGGACCGCAAAGGGTTAAAGGGGAACGAAGGGTGCTCGATAGATTCACGTAAAAAGTAAAACGTTGTTTTCGATTTACGGATCCAATCGATCAGTGAACACTAAATAAAACGTACTTCCTTGAAAAAGGGTTGACGCTAATGCACGATGCAAGGTTCGTGCGTACTATCTGTTCTCCCTAATCCTTGCGGTGAGCAGGTAGATAGCGGCCTAAGGGGCAATGATCGACTCGGGTCATTGGCTGGATCCAGTTATCAAGGTTGGGATCCTTTTCTTCGGTCGCGAAAGATCATCGTTTCTCCTCGACGCGGATCGATGAACTTCTCAAGTTTATCCGTGTGCGATATCTACGGATTGCACGTACCTTTTCCACGCAACCCTCCAACCGTTTAGAATAAGACAGACATTTATGAACTAGCCATGGAGTTTTATACAACGATTTTCTGAAGATTATGTACCGAATTAACTTTGTCATCGTTGTTAACTCTTTAACTACGAGAGATATGTGAAAGGTGTTCCGTAAATCAGGTAGATTTTACGACTTGAAATTGCGTGGGAGGCTTCGTTTTCGAGAACAAGATCAATCACGTTGGTAATTGAAATAAATAGTACCTAAACCTGTTTTTTGTTAATTTCTCTACTTCTGATTCCTGACAATCTGATTATTAAGAACCGGGCAAGGGGAAAAGGAAGATTCGCGTCGATGAAAATGGTCAAGAATGACAATGACTGTGTAATAGCTTCTGCCAATGCTGCTCGCGTAATTG